CTACTAAAAAAAAGGAATGACTGTCTTTTAACTTCCTGGAAAAGTGCCCTGGAGTGATTGCATAAGGGGCAGCTCCTGTCTGGGGTCCTGACTGAGTTGACAACAATAGTGTCAATAAATGATTCTGATGCATGCCTGAAATCTTAGTTACTTGGGAAACAGTGACCAGATGCAGCAGTTTGAGGACAGCCAAGGAAAAATTAGTCAAAACCCTATCTGGAAAAACAAATTAAAATAAAAAGACTGAGGACTTGGCTCAAGTAGTAGACTATTTGCTAGCAACTGCAAGGTCCTGACTTCAAAACTACATTTAACAAAAGGTGTTTCTGGGCCAGATGTGATGGTTCATATCTATAATCCCAGCACTTGGAAGCCTGAGGCAGGATTATGATTTTAGGTTTGGTCTGGGCTACATAGCAAGTTCCAGGCCACTTGAGGTGCATATTGAGACCCTGTCTCAAAAAAAAAAAAAAAAAAGATTCCGTAAATGTGACTAACTCAAATATTTTGTTTTCAGATTTATTCCTGCTCTGAATATTAAGGGTCTCTAAACAGTTTTCTTAAAAGACTATGTAACACCAAGGCTAAAGATGTGGTCAGCATCCTGTGGAGACCTGTTAACTCAGGAAGATGTACTGAGTGAACCAGATGCCCAAGAAACCCACAAACCCATTTGCTATTAGAAAGAACTGTCCTGAATATTCGAAAATTGCTGGAGGCAGCCTTAACTGCTGTGCTGTCTCTGTTGGTATTCTTTGACAGTGGTTGATATAATTAGAAAGAAGAAGGCTCTGAGTCACTAGGGAGTTTGTACTGCTCTAAGGAAAACTGCTGGAGACTATTGACAAGATTTGCAGCACCAAGTCCAGGGGACTTTGTGACTAAGTGCCTTCAATTCTTTCTGCCATCCTTTGGAGTGTCACTCATAAAAAGAGAAGAAAAGGGAAGGCAATTTTTTCCTATATTATTCAAAAAGGAAGAAGATTAACAATTTTGGGGAAACTTAAAGGTCTAGAAAGTATGTTGCTAAGTCTAAGAACAGGGAACTTGACTTCTAACCTAATTTCAAATTTAGGTTAGGGAAACAATGGCATACAACTATAAATAAGCACTAAACTGATTTTCTCCAACTCCACAATCCCTCTCATCTATCCTGAATAAAACCATCAGACAGCTGCAGGAAACAATGTGGTTAATTGGGAAGATGACCTAAGCTCTCCAAGATATTTGCCCACAGTACATTATTCCTATTTCCTTCCCTTGAGATAGATACTTGGCTTAGATCTTTCCGTTTCTCAAAGGCTAGGAAAAAGCAAACTATTACCTCTGCAAACTGCACCTAACTATTCCACAACTTTCCTTCAGTCTCCAAATCTGCTGTTTTCCATTTTAGTTTTGGCCCCCATCTCTCATGCTGTGCTCCTATGTACCTGTTCTTGGTACATCACATGAGTTGCATGTTCCTGATGAAACTAGACTATAAAGAAGAACTTTGTTTCTTCTGTGGCAATGATTAGAAAAAGGTTTTATTTGTCCTGGTGAAGTTCAAGGAAAAAGAAAGCTTCCCCCTTCCAAAAATGACTTCATAAAATACAGTCCTGCACTATCTTCTATAATATGGGTTTTCCATATTTGCTTTCCTGTCCTTAATTTGCAGCAGCCTTCGGCTTTTAATCAGCCAACAGAGAAGCTGGAAGAAACAACCAACTAATGACCAATGCCATGTTTTTCTTTTCCCTGCTCTATTTTTCCCTATTGGACTTGTGAGATTTGGATCCATGGTGTCTTCCGTATCTACTTTCTTATTGAGAGAATAATGGAATTATTCTAAAATTAATGTTGCAATAATGGCTCCCTGGAGTTTTGAAAAGTATAAATATCAACCAACATATTAAGGTCATAACTAATATGAGACAAAAGAAAAGTTCTTCAATGACTTTGGGGAATAATTTTCAAAATTCTCAGGAGAGAAGATAAGAATACAGTTTTGGGCATTGAAATGTCAGTGGTAGAAGGAGTGGAATAGTCTTCAAGATAGAAATGGTTGTGACAGTACTGGGTTTCATTGGTTTCCACCAATTAGGGAACATAGAAAGATAACCCCTCTTGAGTTATTTTATGTTGCAAGATGAGTTAAGGAAATATTTGGATCTACTGATATCAATTGCCAGTGATAATTTTAGAAATTTTCAATTATCTTATGAGCTGCAGTCTGTTAATCATAGTTTCTTAGTGATGGTGAAAGAAGAACATACAAAGAAAAGAAGGCACATCTATGCATACATAGAAAAGTGTATGAAAATAAAGGGATTTCTGGAAGGTAAAATGCAGCATAACCAACTGACCTCTAATAGGCACAGAAAGGGCTTCAACCAAGTGCCATCAAAATGTTCTCCAGAGCCCTTTGCTTTCCTAAAGACAATCCTTTAAGAAGTCTTCCCTGGATAATTGATAAAGAAAAACAAATGCTCATAAGTCTCCAACATTTGCTTAGTGCACTAACCTTCCATTCTCATATATCATATGAAAGTGTTATCTTATGACCAAAGAGTATTAGAAAAATCTAATTAGCAATGAAGAATTTGAAAGAAGTGAATTTCTAACTGAGCTGTCTTTCTTTACAGACCTTCTGCTTTCCTTGATCCTCACTATCCTAACGTTCTGTGGACAAATTATCTACTATATAAGCCTGAGATATGGGAACTGAGGAGGTAAATAAATCACACTCCTCAAGAAACATCCTAATGGTGACTGTTTTGTTATTCATTACTTGATATGTAAAGTATTGTGAATTCATGAAAACTAGATCTGGTTCATATTTATAATTTATAAACTATGTGACAGATTATCATGTGAATAGTATAATTACAACCATGCAATGCGATCCTATCAACTACAGACTGAATCTCTGTCCTCAGAAAGCTCCCCCATGACTAAAAATACCACCATCCCTTTCATGTACTTAAATGCATTTACAGATGTCTTTTAAAAAATATTAAATTTATTATTTAATTAAATATTTACCAAATGTTTAGTGACCAGTTCATTGAACAAATAGCCCTTAAATGTCAATTTATTTTTAGTTGTTATAGTGGTATACAAAATACCTCCAAGGCATTTATCCTCTCTAACAGATGTAGAGACAATTATCATCTATGATATATTTAAGTGTACCATAAAAAATTTAAAAGAAAGAAAAGGTCATGGGACTCTTGTATTTGGAGGCCAGAGTAGCCAGACGTTGTGGTTTCTAGTTGAATGATCAAGAATGGAGAATGAATAGAAATTTCCCAGATAAGCAAAAGCACAGGTGAGAGATACTGTGAGATTAGAAAACCTGGTCTTGCAGCAGAAAAACTACCTTTTTTATTGGAGCATTTGGGGAGAAGATAAAACAGTTTGTGAAGAAGGCAAGGTGGCTAAGAAAATGTGTAATATAGACATTAACTGTTTATTGAATATGGATATTTACTAATTTAATTTACCTATAAATATCACATTAACAAATGAATAAAGGAATGGAAATGGTGATTTGTTTACTCTAGAACATTTCAGTTATACCCATTAGCCTACAGGTCACTATGATTAAGCAAAATTAATATTCTCCTTCAAGAGTTCTCATTCTCTGTGAGTGGTGCTGTGGTTTTGAATTCAGGGCTTTGTACTTATTTGGCAAGAGCTCTACCACTTGAGCCAAACCCCCAGGCCTTTTTGCTCTTTAGTTTGTTTCTCAGATATTGTCTCTTGCTCTTGTCTGGGCTGACCTCTGACTGCAATCCTTCTACATTTGCTACTTGAGTAACTGAGATTATCTACTTGTATCACTACCTCTTGCCTCCAAGCCCCCTCTTGAATGTGAAAGAAGCCAAAGTGAGAACACTTAGAGACGGTAAAAGGTGAAAGAACTATACTTCAAATGAGTAGGATGAGCTGTCTATTTGTTTCTTGAGTTGAGTTATACATTAGCTAAAGAATACTCATTTTGCAGTTTGCTTCAGTGCTTTTATTTTTTTCAGATGTCTTTGAAGGCTATAAAAATTAATCTATTAAGTTCAAATTTGATTTCATTTGAATCAAGGGGGTACAAATTTGCCCACCTTTTAGAAAGGAGAAATTGGAAGCGCTGAAACAGATGTGGTCAATACAATGGTGAATTCTATTGGAAATTCAGGGGAAAATATGATGAAGAGCTGTAATGGCTCATATTGAAGGAAGGTCTGATGGCTTTACCTTATTTCATTGTGAAATTTAAAGCAACAATTATAGCAGAATTCTAAGTCAGTTCCAACTTCTTTCTTTTTTGGTACTGATAATTGAACCCAGGGCCTCCAACTTAAACTAAGCCCCTAGCCCTTTTCTTTCTATTTTGTTTATGAGATAGGATCTTGCATTTGCCCAGGCTGGCATTGAATTTACTATCCTCCAACTCCACCTCCTGAATAGCTGAGATAAAATAAAAAATAAAACCTTAGTTGTAGGCACATACAAAATATACCCAAAAGGAAACTTACAAGAAACTAGTAGTCAATTCCTGAAAATTGAACAATATAATTTAACAGAAGCTGACACTTATTAAAAGCTTACAAGGTACACATGATCTGTTAAGTGCTTTAATTTTCATATAATTCTTAGGAGAGCTACTATTAATATCTTTACATTATAGATGAGGAAACTGAGTCACAAAGGATTACACAGATAATGGGAGAGCTAGAGTTGTTACACAGGATATTTTCATTTTTATTCCTTAATTGTTATTTGAAGTAACCAATGTGAAAAGGTCTCCTAGACTTAAACAGTATAAGAGATACAGAAATGATCTGAAAACAAATGTAATCAGAGTATTTGAAACAGTACTATGAAATGTTGTAACCAATAGGGCATTTTCTACTAGAGTAAGTTCTTACCCTTTCTCTGATTTATTGTTCTTCAATCCAAAGTGGAATTAATTATATTCATCTTTCAGGGTACACTACTGTTTCCTTTGTTCCTGTTCTTTGTAGGTTAAGCTCTGGGGCCAAGTCAACCAAGCAAATTTCTCATCTGTCACAGAGTTCCTTTTGCTGGGATTCTCCAGTCTTGGAAAAATTCAGCTCATCCTCTTTGTTCTTTTTCTATGCCTCTATATGATTATTCTGAGTGGAAACATCATTATTGTTACTGTCATCTGCCTGGATCACAGTCTCCACATACCTATGTACTTCTTCCTAGGGATTCTCTCTGTCTCTGAGACATGCTACACTTTCGTCATCCTGCCCAAGATGCTCATAAATCTTTTGTCTCTGCTTAGAACAATCTCTTTTTCTAACTGTGCCACTCAGATGTTCTTCTTCCTTGGGTTTGCTATCACTAATTGTATGCTGCTGGGGGTGATGGGTTATGATCGCTATGCTGCCATCTGTCACCCACTTCGCTATCCCATTCTTATGCACTGGAAGGTATGTGGACAACTGGCAGCAGCTTGTGCTGGGATTGGTTTTCTGTTCTCACTCACTGGCTCACTTTTAGCCTTTAAACTCCCTTTCTGTGGCCCAAACAAGATCAACCACTATTTCTGTGACATTGTGCCAGTTATCCGACTTGCTTGCACTGATATCTACATTCATGAACTGTTAATCTACATTGGTGGAGTTCTAGTTCTTATGGTCCCTCTGATTTTAATATGCATCTCCTATGGCCTCATTTTTCACACAGTCATGAAGATCCCATCAGCCGAAGGCAAGCGAAAAGCCTTCTCTACTTGTGCCTCCCATCTCACTGTGGTCATTGTCCACTATGGCTGTGCTTCCTTTGTCTACCTGCGACCGTCAGCCAAGCACTCATCTAGCAGAGATAGGCTAGTGACAGTGACCTACACAGTTGTGACTCCATTGTTGAACCCTATGGTGTATAGCCTCAGGAACAAAGATGTTCAGGTGGCCATTAGGAAAGTGATTGGCCAAGGAAGATTTTATCCTAAAGCTACAAAATGAGAAAAAATCACATCTATGGAAGCATCCCTTCCAAAGACATAGTAATAATTATAATGCCAACAATGCTTATGTCTTTCATTTAGATAGAACTTTACTGGCTTTACATAGAAAATTTACATGATATTATTTAGATGTGCTTTGTGGGGTGCAATCTTCAATTGGCTTTATTCAAAATAAGGACAAAGACTCATATAGTTTTAAAACACAAATAAGTATTTTGATTTCTTGAGATAATTAAAAATTATATTAGTCTCTTTAATGAAGGATAAGTCAAACACTGTGGATGACAGTTTAGCAAAAAAGGCTCAACAATCACAGTGTCTACATAGCTCAGCAAAATCTTAGTAAGGTCATTTGCAAAATAATTATGGAGCAAATTAAACTAATATAAAGGAAATTATCCATTAAACCTGGGCTACCAGTGTTGAAAAGGGCCCAAGGGTATCACATGCATTGCTCTGTCATTGTAGGAATCTAATCTGAGCATTTCCATCTTGGTTAATTGCTAAATAGGGAGAACTGTTGTTAAATATTTCTAAATATTATGGAGTTCTATTTTTATATATCTTCCTAACTTTGTTCCTTTCTCTAAGGATGTCTAACAACAATCAAAATATTTGAAGATGGACAGTATATGTCTCCATTATTATACCTTTAACCTAGGAAGTGTCTTTTGAACTTAATGATATATTACAGTTCACAGACCCCCTCAAAATTCAGATTATCTTTGGATTACTTGCTAGATAAACTCATTTTGCTAATAGTATCTTGAGATAGGTCACAGGTAGTTAGAATAATCACTTTCATTTTTTTCTGGAAGTCAATTTTATCTCAATATAACCTAAATTTCATCACTTTCCTATAAACTCTACCATATATGTGCTCCCTCTGAGCCCTATGTTGTTTAAAGGATTTAATGTTATATATCTATAACCATAAAATTACTAAATCTACTGTTATTTTAGTTTAATTTTGTCTTTTAAGATGATTTAAAGTTTGGCATTTATTCTCTTAAATTTCTACCTTTGACTTTAGGCTCATAGTTCTAGAAGATTCAGTTTTTAATGTCCCAGTTATGATATTCAAATACTGTTTGTTTGTCTTATTGCTCTATTCTATCTCTTCTTCTAGGCTTGAAGTAAACAGTAGTTGTATTGTAAGAATATACAATTAACAATGACTGCCTTGATTCTGATATTTATGCTCAATGGCCAAAGAACTGTGGTTAAATTCTGATTGCTGTAGGGGCTGGATGTCAAAGTCATATAACATGGTTAGATGTTTTATATCTTTGTCTTGGAAACTTCAAAAAGTAAAATCACTTATCAGTATATCTCTAGAAGCTCCATTTTGGAAGCCCTCATTCTTGACTTCTGTTCTATTGCATCATGGGAACTGTTGAAAATATGTTTGTATTCAATATTAAGTAGGTCTAAGAAGCAGTAGGTAAGCCCTTTCAAAAAAGTACATACTTGGCAAGAATATAAGCTTAGTGGACAAAATAGAACAGATTAATTTCTGTTGCCAAGAAATTCCTGGTACTGCATGAGTGCCCAGGCAAGTTTTTAATAATCAGGACAATGAGCACAGATACCTGTGGGAGGGTAGGGCAGGTTCTTGTCAAATGGGGTTAAGAAATCACTTGAGGTATGTGGAAAACTCCCTTCTGTTGTCATTGAGATGAATGTATGATTTCATTCTCCATCAAGTATCACGTCTCCTACCACATACTTCTTGTAATCCATCTTTTGGCAAATGATATCTTGTAAGTATAATGTAATTATTGTACAATATTATGTATTATATAATAAATTATATAAATATTATTAAAACTTATATTGCATACTTCATTGGTCAAGACATCCTTTTTTCCTTCAGTTTTTACAAAATTCATCCTAAGGTAAATTTTTAAAAAGTGAAAAATCAGGTGTGTTAGCTCATGCCTACAATCCCAGCTACTTGGGAAATGGATTTCAGGAAGATTGTAGTTTGAGGACAGCCTAAGAAAAATATTAACAAGAACTCATGGCACAAAAAATGAGCCAGGGAAGGTGGTACACATCTGTAATCCCAGCTTGGCAGGAGATGAAGATAGGAAGATCACAGTCCAAGGCTGGTCTGAGTGAAAAACATGAGACCCTATATGAAAAATAACTAAAGCAAAAAAGGGCTGGGTTCGTGGATCAAGTGGTATAGTGCCTACCTACCAAGCATGAGACCCTGAGTTCAAACACCAATATCACTAGAGAAAGAAAGAGAGAGAACAGGAAAAGATGCTAAGGGTGATATTTCCAAGGGATTGTCCTGAAAATGCTGCCACCTAACAAAATGTCCTCATCACTCTTTCATTAGACAGATAATTTTTCCTGTTTATTCACTCAGAACCTCAAACTTTCCCAACTATTACTATCTTCAGAGTATCATTATAGGCACTTGAACTTTTTAAATGGCAATGTGTGTAATAAAAGAAGAAATGGGCATTATATGACAAACTCCAAACTTCAGATTCCCAGTTTCAGGTGTGACGGTGCACACTTGTAATCCTAGCACTCAGAAGATAGAGGGAAAAAGATAGTGAGTTTGAGGCCAGCTTGGGGTACATGGTAAGACATTGTCTCAGAAAACAAAAGTAACTAGTCTGTCATTCCCCATAGCAGTCAAATGCTGCTGAAGAAATTTATCTAACACATCAGATAATCACAAAAAGTTAATGATCAATATTTTTAATGGACACCTAAAACTAGAAAATTTCAACATTTTCTGAAAAAAACTTGCATTTTCTGCAGAAGTTATTATCCATGTGTTCACTTCTACTTTGAATGAAAATAGAAGTGAGTCCTCTTTATCTCAAATGTAAAGCCAACTGATATACTGCACCATAGTTTAGAAAAAACATAAAGTAAACTGAAACCTTCTCTTCTTTCTGCACTGAAATTGCAAACACGCTTGTACCACAATTATTCAAATTTTTCCTTACTCTTATAGTATATGCTGTCTCTTTTAGTATTCTCAAATACTTCCTTTTCATATTCTCTGTATTTTGTTCACTTCTTTTTTCATCTCTTTTATTCATATGTGCATACAATGTTTGAGTCATTTCTCTCTCCTTCCCCCTGCCCCCTCCCTTACCTACCCCATCCCTCCCTCTCCCCCCGACCCCCTCGCTACCAGGCAGAAACTATTTTGCCCTTATCTCTAATTTTGTTGAAGAGAGAGTATAAGCAATAATAGAAAGGAACAAGGGTTTTTGTAGTTGAGATAAGAATCACATTGCTTTCCTGTACATATGTGTTACCTTCTAAATTAATTCTTTTCGAACTAAGCTTTTCTCTAGTTCCTGGTTCCCTTCTCCTATTGGCCACTGTCACTTTAAAGTTTCTGCATTAATTCCTTTACATTGAGGACATCAAATGCTATCTTGTTTTTCGGGGGGTTTCTTGCCTACCTTCATACCTCCCTTGTGTGCTCTTGTCTCATTATGTGATCAAAGTCCAATCCCATTGTTGTGTTTGCCCTTGATCTAAAGTCCACATATGAGGGAGAAGATATGATTTTTGGTCTTCTGGGCCTGGCTAACCTCACTCAGGATGATGTTCTCCAGATCCATCCATTTACCTGCAAATGATAAGATTTCATTCTTCTTCATGGCTGAATGGTATTCCATTGTGTATAGATACCACATTTTCTTAATCCATTCATCAATAGTCGGGCATCTTGGCTGTTTCCATAACTTGGCTATCGTGAACAGTGCCGCAATAAACATGGGTGTGCAAGTGCCTCTGGGGTAGCCTGTGTCGCATTCCTTTGGTTATATCCCCAAGAGTGGTATTGCTGGATCATATGGCAGATCTATGTTTAGATTTTTAAGTAGCCTCCAAATTTTTTTCCAGAGTGATTGTACTAGTTTGCATTACCACCAGCAGTGTATAAGGGTTCCTTTTTCCCCACATCCTCGCCAACACCTGTTGTTGGTGGTGTTTCTAATTATGACTATTCTAACAGAGGTGAGGTGGAATCTTAGTGTGGTTTTAATTTGCATTTCCTTTATTGCTAGAGATGGTGAGCATTTTTTCATGTGTTTTTTGGCCATTTGAATTTCTTCTTTTGAGAAAGTTGTGTTTAGTTCACTTGCCCATTTCTTTATTGGTTCATTAATTTCGGGAGAGATTAGTTTTTTGAATTCCCTATATATTCTGGTTATCAGTCCTTTGTCTGATGTATAGCTGGCAAATATTTTCTCCCACTCTGTGGATGGTCTCTTCAGTTTAGAGACCATTTCTTTTGATGAACAGAAGCTTTTTAGCTTTATGAGGTCCCATTTATCTATGCTATCTCTTTGTTGCTGTACTGCTGGGGTTTCATTGAGAAAGTTCTTACCTAGACCTACTAACTCCAGAGTATTTCTTACTCTTTCCTGTATCAACTTTAGAGTTTGGGGTCTGATATTAAGATCCTTGATCCATTTTGAGTTAATCTTGGTATAGGGTGATATACATGGATCTAGTTTCAGTTTTTTGCAGACTGCTAACCAGTTTTCCCAGCAGTTTTTGTTGAAAAGGATGTCTTTTCTCCATCGTATATTTTTAGCTCCTTTGTCAAAGATAAGTTGTTTATAGTTGTGTGGATTCATATCTGGGTCCTCTATTCTGTTCCACTGGTCTTCATGTCTGTTTTTGTGCCAGTACCATGCTGTTTTTATTGTTACTGCTTTGTAATATAGTTTGAAGTCAGGTATTGTGATACCTCCTGCATTGTTCTTTTGACTAAGTATTGACTTGGCTATTCGTGGCCTCTTGTGTTTCCATATAAATTTAACAGTAGATTTTTCAATCTCTTTAATGAATGTCACTGAAATTTTGATGGGAATTGCATTAAACATGTAGATTAGTTTTAGGAGTATAGACATTTTTACTATGTTGATTCTCCCAATCCATGAGCATGGGAGACCTCTCCATTTTCTATAGTCTTCCTCAATCTCTTTCTTCAGGTATTTATACTTT